CTCGTCGATTCCATCTATGGGCTCATCGAGTTCTACTATCAAAAGCCAAAAATGGAATTTTATTTAGCTTTGAAAAACACAATGTCATAAAATACAACAAAAAAACACCCTAAGATCTAATACCACTGATGAGTTTCAAGCATTACAACATTCCTATGTTGCACATGCAGCCTTAATTGTTGTGGATCTAGTTTTTTCTCATGTTATACATGCATAATAATTATCCAAAGCAAAACCCGAATGTAGCATACATATTTTCGGATTCAATGAATAAACAAGAGTTAGATGAATACCTTTCTTGTTGATTGCTTGATCTTCACCTTCAAGAGCGTAGTGCCTCAATTGTTGCACTTCTAATAGAGTCACAAACACCACTAGCAATGAGGAAGAAGGAGAAAGGTTATGAAACTTCACAATGTTTGGCCAAAGCGTTCTCTAAGAATGCATAGTCCTAAGCAACACATGGACCCTCGTTTCAAAAGCTTTGAATGAAAACTCTATGGGATCCCCATAGATTTTCATCCATCCTATACCCATAAGTTAATTAGGGTTTCATTGAAAGTTGTGTTAAACCCTTGGGCTCTCCATATCTCTACGAGTTCTGAAGCTCTATAATCCATTTTCTTTTGAGCTATTGTAGGGGAGTCATTGGTGTGATCTGATGAAATTTTTTCTTCCAAGTTCTTAAGGTGAGTAGGAGTTGATTGTCGGGGAGAATCATGTGGAGTTGGTTGCCGAGGAGAACCCTGAGGAGTTGGATCTTTGTTGTGCACTGAGATGGGTGGATCGTAAGGAGGAAGGATGGAATTGTTATCTGATTGAGTTTTCGACTTGGACAATTCAAAATCCATTTCGAATCCAATTTCATTTTCCTGATCACTTCACCCTTTTGAGGAAGCAGGCTCCATTTGATCCTCAAACCAACACTTCAAAACATCAGTCTTTTGAAATGTAGCATTGAACTTCATCTCCATCTATTCATATTCAACGTTGTTTATTGGAATCTCTGGGTTAAAGAGTTGTTGATAAATCTCCTTGGTGAGTTAGAGGATTTCATCAACACTCTACTTTGCAGTTAAAGATCTTCTCAGCCCGTTGATTGTCTCCTAAAGCACCGAATACCTGGATTCATACCTAGTATGAGTAATGAGTTGCTTGGATTTTCCTTCTTGAGTTTGTAGGGTTTGTTGGATTTTGGTTCAGAGCTCTTTAACTTATTTGATGAGATCTTCTACTTTGAGACGAATTCCTTGTGATTAGACATCCATTGATTATCGAGTTGCCTAATACCTATCTCTATATGTAGAAGAACCCTATATGTAGTGAGTTTCTCCTTATTTTTTAAAACTTCAATGCAATCAATGAGTGATTGTGGAGTAGGGATGTCAGTGGTCTGCGACGTTCTGGAAGTGACTATGGACAAAATCTTATCGAATTTAGGTTACAGGTCAAGGAATTCCTTTCTTGATACAACCATCTTTTTCTTCATTTTATTTTTTAGATGCTTTCCTATGTTGTCTATGCCTCCTATTATTCCTGACAGGCAACAGATTACATCTTGACACATAAATTGCCAAGCATCACGCAATTTGGTCTTCTTGAATTCAACAATTCCTTTAAGCTTGATTCTGTTACCCCATCTGGTACAATGCAGAGTAGACATCATTGGTTCTTGGTGAGTAAAATTGAGTTATAGGTGAAACCCTCAAATTTATTACTACAAGAAACTTTTCCCTCGTCAAGAAAAGCATGAAATCACCGATTAAGTGGAGATGAACTTCTTAAGGTTTGTCGTTGGGCCTAAATGCAGAAAAAACATATTTGAAGCGAACAACTTGCAGAACAACTTCAATAAACGAGTCAAATGCACCAAACAGGGATGATTTGGGAGAAACTTGACCATGATGTTGATTGTTGTCACACCCTGCTAAAGCGGAAATACAGGGCATGGCAGTACAAAGGGTTTCGTAGCTAAAGTTAAACGACAACACCAACCATAGTATTAAAAACCATTACCAATTTACAATGAATTTGAACAACTTTTTAAATGAAATCATAATGTATTTGAAAGTCAAAAAATGCAAATGCTCACATAACTGTTGTTTCTCTACGTGCCTTTTACCAGATGATTCCTGAAAAATCATGTAAAACGAGCGTCACCTATAAAAATAGTTGTTGAGTACTCACACGTTTATAACATAATATAGTTTGAAATCATATTAATCAGAATATTGATAACAGATTTCATAAACAATATTCATTTCTAAAAAAAGTAAATACGTTTTCATGAATAGAAGTTCGTTGCTAGAATGAGTAATAAAGTTTCCATAAATAGAACTTTGTTGCTAATATGACAAACAAAGTTCGTTGCTCAAGTGAGTAAACAGGTTCACTGCTACAACGAGCAAACGAGATCGTTGCTACAAAGAGCAAATAAGTTCGTTGCTAACACTACTAGAAAGCAACCCTTTAATGACGCGCAAACAATGACACTCGCCGATAGAGGACGTGCATTTGTGGGTGCCCTAAAAAATAATGTCAGTTTTGCAAAATTTGAAGGATAGAGGGCACACATTTATGCGTGCCTTAAAATTAGTGTTAGAAATGAAAAAAAGGAAATGCGAAAGGCGCCTTATATAAAATATGCCTCATGTAAGTATGTCGCTTTATAATTTTTTTAATCAAACACGCCTTTTGAAGACCCGCTCGTTCTTTCCTCTGCACCTTCCGATGACCTTCACTTTCTCCCCTACTACTCTTTGTAAAACCTAGTAGCCGCCACCACCAAAAACATGGTTTTATGTTGGTTTCGTTCTGTGTTGTAAGAACACAAGTTTGATCCTTCATTAATAGCTAAAGGGGTAAAATCCCCCAAAATTTTAATGTACCCCGCTCACTACTCTTCACCTTTACCCCACTCCATCTAGAACGACTCCCCACGTTTACAAACCCTAGTCTAGTTTTGCTTCTAGCCTTGGTCCTAATTCTTCATCCTATTAGCAAATAAAGGGAACACGACTTCTTATTCATCCCTCAACTTCATCTTCTCACTGAAGCAAAAAGGATTCTGTTTTTTTTTTCGTGCATCTGCATCATCTTGGTGGCGATAAACTCTCTAAGGCTTGTTTAATCGTAACCCATTCCCGATTTATTCTCCCAAATCTGGAAAAATTGTTCGTTTAATTGAAGTTTCCTTTCTTCAACAAAAATTGTGTTTAACTATGTCCGAAAAGTACGATCTCATATTTCTCCCAGGAATGGGAGGTGTTACTATGCTATGAAAAGGACGCTTCTACCATCTCGTATTTCTTCAACAAAAAATTTTATGATAGCGGAGTCGACAACTAAGGCCACCACGACTACTAATGTGAGTATGTTTTTTTTTCTGATTTTTCATTATAGTGATTAAATTTCAGTTTAAAAATTGTGTTTAACTACTTGATGTTTGTATTTAAAATGTTGAGATTCATGAATCTATTTGGTTTTATTTTTGAAAAAAAGAACTTTATTTCTTCGTCCCCTCTATATCATCTCGAAAATCTCTACCCCTCTGTTAATGTTATTTTGTTGAACCTCGGTTTGATGTTTTATTTTATATTTTATAATGAATCGATGCTTAAAGTATGTCATTTTAGCATTTGTTTTCATTGGTTTTAAAGGTACAATTAAAGTAAATGGATCAGAAAAAAAAGAGCATATATGCACTCCAAGTGATCGACAAAATGCTTGAAAGAGCAATCTTCTACATATCCTAACACAAACCTAAAAATATTTCCTCTTGAAGCAAACCTACAACATGTAACCATATATGGGTTAATCTCAGAGAGGTAAGGATTGAGTTTCATATTCATTGACAAATTGAATCTGTTGCCTCTTGCTATGATTAACTTTGATTATAATTTTTTGCTAACAAGTTGTCTTTTATAAGAAAAATTGAAAGAGAAAAATCCCACTACCATTGAGGCGCTTTCTATTAATCTACAAGCAATGCACAAGGTTGGGTGATAACGCTGAAGTGAAGCCAGTTCTAGCAAATTTGGAGGTCAAAGAAGTTAAGTAGATTAGAACAAGTAATAGTTGGTGATGGTTCAGTAACAGAAGCTGCTGCAGACAGATTGGTGATGGAGTTGTAGGCGGTTCAAAAGGCTTATAATATGCTCAAGAAAAAGGATGAGTTGTACATAGGTGGGTGCATTTAATTTTGTTTCTATTATTTGATGTGATAATTCGAAGGTATGAACATGATATCTGACTTAATATTGACTTTTTTGTTTCTACTTTTGTTAACAACTAAGTTGATTATTGTTTTGATGTTTATCTCACTGATTTTACTTGTAATTGCCACATAATGTCGGTTAAAAGTTACATATCCAATTGTTTGAATGTGACTGAGTTAAATGGAAATACTTCGTACTTGAACAAATTTGAATAGCTCAAAGGAGATAAGATATGTTCATTGATCAGCAGATCAACACAGTTAAGAGCACTTGAACAATAATAAGCCGCCAGATTTGTAAATTTCCTAGACGCTTTCTTTAATACAAATTCATTTATTTTTTGGCAGGTTTTGTGCCTTTGTAATACAATCTCAATCATAATTATTGGGTCCATGCATGCGGTCAGCTATTTCTGCGCTGCCAACCCGACAACATAGCTTCAAATCAATGTTCTAGCTCAATGTTCATTCATGAACATATTTCTTTTGAAGGGATTCATCAATATTGCCACATTCCAAGTGAAGCTCCCCCAATCATTGAATGATACCGTCCCCCACCCTTATGGCATGTCAAGGAAAATCAAAAATCATAGATTTGAAGGTATTTTTATAGTCATTGGTTTTCTAAATAAATAGAAATATATATATATATATATATATATATATATATATATATATATATATATATATATATATATATTTACCTTTATATGTTCTAAGGTTAATTTTGTATTTTTTAGGTTCGTTACACATATAAAGGAGGGAATTAAGATTGTAACCAAAGATGGTGATGTTTTGTTACGGTTTAGTGGTGGAGAGACTCGTAAAGATGAAGGACCATGAAGTGAGGCACAAGGTTATTGGCTAGGTGCTAACTGAAAAGGATGGTTTGGTGAGCTTTTATAGTTTTTTTTGTACAACAACAATCTCTCAAACATTAAATGATGTCTCTGGCAGTGGCAGGAAGTTCACTTCCCCTGTAATAAGTCATCATTTGATTTCACAGTTAGCTTTATGATTTCACATGAACATGTTCTTTATCATTTGGACAGAGGTAGCAGATGACCTGGAATTCACCACTACATATTATTATCACGTCTAGGCTACTAAAAAGAAGGTGGGTGTAATTATATGCATATATATGTTCTATTACTTATTGTGGTTATAATAGTTGCTCTGTTCATCACAAATTATGTGTAATTATATGCATATATATGTTCAACATCGTATGGTTTGATTAGTATAAGTGTTTTCTCTAATTTGGTAGATTTGCAGTTGCAGGGTTGAAAGTATGTTGCTTGCTGTTCCGCTCAAGAATGTAATCAGTTCTTCAGTTCTTGCATTTAAGGTATGCTTGAAAATGTTGAAGTTGAAGAGGATCATGAGTGTGTGTGTGTGTGCTGGTGATCTCTTGTTATTCATAAACAGAGGAGATGAAGGTAAAAAAAATTATACTATTTTCCTTTTTTGCCCTTGGTTTTATAAATAATAACATATATACTAAACAATCTTATAGGGATTGACTACAATGATTCCAACATTTGGTGCTGTCAGTTCTTGAAAAATGTAGGCATATTTCACGATTTCAGTTTTCCATATCTCGAAGGATTAAATCATTAAATACACATAACTACATAAGGTTTGGTTAAATATATTAACAGTTTGTCTGGCTCTTAAATAACAGATACATACCTGCCTAATACATTAGTAAAATTAGTTTCTAAACATGATGAGATAGTTGAATGTAAATTTGTTGTGGTAGATAATTGTCTGGAACGTAGTAGATACTTCGAATCCTATTGGATCAAAATCAAAGAGAGCTGAGTACAATGTTGTCCCAGTATGTGGATTGGATTGGATGGGCATAAAGGTTCTATATACCATATTACATGGTCTTTGTATGGATCAAAACTGGTGTCCATCTCGGATGATCACAGGTCAAGTCTCATCCCAATTTGAATGAAACATTGCCTAATATGTGATGTTATGTGATAGATTGTTTAAGTTGGATGTTTCCTTGTTAATAGTTTTCTTTATGAAAAATTTCCCTGTCAAGTCAACAAATAAGTTCAAAATCAATGCATCTTTATTTCATTTGTTACAGACAAGGAAAACAAGTCTGGGTTACATCACCTATTTTCTGGTTCATTGGATGTGCCATTTCAACTACATTTGTTATGTGTGTTATGTGGCCAACAAACATCTGTTTTCATTACTTTGGTGTTTGCAATTATTGATCCACAGTAAGGTCATGCACTGATTGTTATGCTTATAATGTTTTTTTTGGATTGTCCTGTAGGTAGCCTCTCAGCTTCTGATTAATTTGGTGTATTAATTTGGTAGGTTGATCCTGCTACATGACCAATAATGATCTCTAGAGTCTGCTAGAAGGATTGGAGATAGCAGTTAAGCTATATGGCCAATAATGAACTAGTTCAACTATTATTTGTTGATGACTTTCATCTCTTTTACATTTGATGTATTACATTTGTCTACTATTGGAATGATCATTTGTATGACATTAACTTTTGTGCAATGGATTGTATTTTTGTATTTGGTATTTTATCTTCTACTATGAGACATGAAATGAAAATTTAATTTGAAAATTAATAAACCTATAAATCATTTTTTTTTAAAAAGTAAAATTATGATAGGCAAAAATGTGTGTCATCTTCATTTATGACATGGCCTTTCTTGACAGCGGCTTTAATGATACACATTGCATGTCATAAATGCGCGTCGTCTCTAGATGACACAGAAAAGCGCGTCATCTCTCATTATAACAGGGCCTTCCTTGACGCACATTTATGAGTTGTCTGAGCGTTTTACGACGCACATTGAGCGTCGTAAAACGCTATTTTTCTAGTAGTGTAAGACAATTAAATAAGTTTCCAGTAGTAAAAGTGTGTTTCTATAATGACAAACAAAGTATATTGCTATAATAAGTAACAAGTTTGAATGTATATGCGCAAACAATGAGTTCACAACCAAGCTTATGACTGATTCCCTATCAAGAGCTGTGCTTATTGTTCCCTAGATGTATATCGTATCACGCACTCAAGTAATCTGGCGAGTGAGGAGTTGTCAATTCCTAATAGCGCTATCCATAATGACCATTGGCTCCAAGAGTTAATGATTGGATTAAAGTGTAACGGAAGGGAGTTCAGACGATAAGGCCTCATGTTTCAAGTTGCATAGACATACATAGAAAAATATAGCGATCAAGTTTTATAAAAATCAATTTAAATACGACGAACAATAAAGAGTTTTTCGGACATGTTTTTCCACCCCAAACATAAAACCGAATATAAGGGCATGCGTGAATACTAACTATTATTTGAGATAATGCAAATGGTGCCTTGAACTATGCTCCACTCGTACCACTATCGATTCTTACAACGATGTTACATACTAACGAGTCTAATTGAAATCTAATACTAGTAGACTTACTATTACAATGGATGTAACGACCGAAATTTCGAAACAATTAAAACTTTTCAAAAACAACCCATTTTAATAACGTTGTTACAAAAAGGTTTTCAATACATTATTTAACAAAGTATTTCCCAGGTCCATTTCTTAAAACACTAACGCGAGGAACGATACGATCACGCCTTTGCCTTGCCACAGACTACTGAGAACCTGAAAACATAAAACCACAACTGTAAGCCCGAAAGCTTAGTGAGATACCCCCAAAATACCAGCCACATATACGCCCTTCCAGGCCACAACCTTCCGGTCCAAACATATCGCCTTCCGTCCCATTGGGTAATGCCTTCCGGCCCATAACACATTGCCTTCCGGCCCATAACATATTGCCTTCCGGCCCATAACCTATCGCCTTCCGGCCCGCAACGTAAAAGCATATATACATCATGACAGAACATAGAACAAGCGTGCATACCGGGTTACACTCCAGACCAGACAACCATACACATAACATGTAATCATATAGCAGTTCACAGTTAGCAAATCGATTAACAGATCACATAACATATCATTACCCTAACCAAGATACCAACCTAGCCGATCACTAGCATAACATCACCCTACGACTCAGCCAACATAATAATTATGCACATACGCCTTTCCAGGCATTGACCTTCCGGTCCACATCGCATTACCTTCCGGCCCGCAACATGCAATATCATACAACAAACAATTACCCGGATTTCCATCCGATAAAAGGGTCGGCCTTGGTGCCTTAAACCCTATAGATATAGTGAGGATAACTCACCTTGAAACTGCCGACTAAACACATAACCCGAACTGCTCCGATCCGTGATACGATCTCCACCACTGGACAACCACCAATGCACTGAACTAAAAACCATAATCAACAATTACCAAATTACCCCTGGAAACCACTGGTCAACCCTTGGTCAAAGACTGGGTCAAAGTCAACCCCTAACTGACCCTACTCGCCGAGTCAACCCTATGACTCGCCGAGTTCCCAACTCAAAACTTCACTCAATCCGCGACCTAACTCGCCGAGTCACACCGAGACTCGCCGAGTCCAACAACTCTGAGTCCACTCGCACATAACTCACCGAGTCATCCCTTGACTCGCCGATTCTTCGACTCAACCAGAAAATATTGGGACTCTTCGACAAGACTCGCCGAGTCCGAGAACAGACTCGCCGAGTCTAAGGCTATCTTCAACCTACTTGCCGAGTTGTTCATCAAACTCGTCGAGTTCCAGACCATCTTCATCCAACTCGCCGAGTTGTTCTTCCAACTCGTCGAGTCTCAGCTCGTCTTCAAGCAACTCGTCGAGTCCACCCATGTGACTCGCTGAGTACCACCGGTCTGAATCCATACAGAAGCATCCTAGGCCATGCAATTGGTTCAAAACATAGATCTAGCCTCCTACAACCCGTCCATCACGTAAAGTGGAAAACTTTACATGAATCCATGAAGATCTAGGCATTATACACATTAGGGCTAAGGTTTGGGACAAGATAGCTTCATCCAACACTTAACACAGGAACTTTCCTGCATTCCAACTCTCCTCCTTTCCAGATCTGAGGTAGCAACCTCAGATCCAACCTCTAGACTCCAATGTAACCCAAGATAAGTTTCCCCTCAAACCCCAAAATGAAGAGACAAGATAACAACAGCCCAAGAACGAGATATTACCTCAAAAGAATGCCCCAATCTGCAAGGAACTCGAATCCAAGCAAAGCCCCTTGCTCCACACCTTCAAACTTCCAATCTTTCTTCAACAAATACTTCTCCAAGCCCCAATCCACTCAACAATGGTGCCTCTCCACGATTTTAGGGTTTCAGGGACTCAAAGGGTGATAAAGAGGCTGGGGAGGAAACATAATGCTCTTTATATAGGGCTCAACCCCGAGAATTAGGGTCTTCTCCACTCAGTGCCTACTCGCCGAGTCCATCTCAATGACTCGCCGAGTCGGCTATTTAACACGCGACCAAGTCGCGACTCTGCTCGCCGAGTCCATCCATGGACTCGACGAGTCACTCTTTCCCAAATTACACTTTTAGCCCTTCCATTCAACTCTTGAAATTTCGGGATGTTACAATAGAATTATGCCAATAATATGTCAAAATTTTGATATTGATAAGTTATAATTATTTTTCTATTAAAATTGAATTTCCATGAGTCAATTGTTATATGATAATTTAAGTGGAAAATTCCCATTATTGAAATGTTAATATTTAACATTTTAAGAGGTATTCAAATTATTAAATATTCAAAAACTAAATCAATTTAGTTCTAAAATTTCTCAAACTTTGTATTTCAGTTTCAACTAAATTCAAAGATGTTAAGATATATTTTCTTAAATTTTTGATTTGTCTACCTATTTTTTTACCATTTTAATTCCTTAAATAATGATAAAATCATGGAAAAATAGTAAATTATCATGTAAATTTTTTATAATTGTGTGTACCTATTTTACAGTGTACATAATATGGGAAAAATAATACAATATATTTATCTATCAAAATATAGATAAATAGAAAATAGTTTCAAAATTTTCCCAAATTTCGTTTTCTACTATTATAACACATATGAAAGATGTGAAAAATATAAACGTTGCTTTGCAAATAGTTTAGATATTTTCTTTGTTTTATTCACATTAACAAGCATTAATTTGTTAAAAATTATTAAACAATAGCTAACATTCACTAAACTTTTTATTAATGAATTACATGTAATGTATGATATTTTGATGAAGTTTGATAACTTTTGGATAAGTTTATGTGACAACCCGAAGTTGTCCATCGCCGAAACCCATTTCGTCCACAAAACCTGTCTATAGTGGTTCCTTCCGATCCCGTTTTTGGGCTAAGTTATTTAAACTTATAAGTTTGTTTTAATCTTATAAGTGCTCAAATCCTTTAGAAACTCAAGAAAATGGCCCAAAATCATTAAATTGAAAATTTCAAAATTCTATCCCGTCGGATTACAATAACTTAATCGGGTGCAACCAAAAGCCCCGTTTAACGTTGGTATCGGGTAGAATTCCACCGTGTCCCAAACTTACGACCTATTTAAAGCTCAAAAGACTTCATTTGAAGCCTTTCCTCTCCCTCACTACTCTCTCTCTAACCTCTCTCCCCTAACTCAAGATTAAGGTCCAAAGACATCAAATTCAAGCCCCAAATCTTCAAGGTATCCACCCTAACTGCTCGTATAGCATCTTAGACCTTCAAATTTGAGTTCAAATCATGTATTAGGATCATAATCATGTGTTTACGGCCCTGGAACACCCTTGGTCCGTGAACACATATAAAATGGGTTTTTATGCCCTAAAACCCTTCCAAAACACCATTAAGGCTTAGATATGACTTATAGAGTTATGGAACTGGACTTAGAAAACCTTGAACATCAATTTAGAGGAGTAAACAGGAGTTTCCTACCCAAGAACATGCTTGGGCCATAAACTCATTAGCATGGAGAGCAAACTCCTTTTAAGGTGTTAAATTGCCACTTAC